TCGCGCCACGTTCAGCTGGCACAAAAACTGAAGATGCTCTCGCAACATACGTGATTCATTTTCAGTATGTGTCACAATGTCATCTGCAAGGTCTCTAATTTCCTTCGGGACTGACATGTAGGCTGCAGTAGCCGCAGAGTCGGCACACATGTTCCCTGCAATGCACCACAAGTCGTCTTTATCAGTTGCCGATTCCAATTTTCTATGACTCTTGACCTTATGGATGAAGAACCTCTCTTCATGCCAAACATCAGCTAATTTGGAAATAAGGTCACCGTTGGCAAACTTGTGCAAATCGGTCTGAAAAAACCCAATCTTATGATCTCAATAATCCTGCAAACATAGGACGCATCAGTGTAAAAATCAATGATCGGGACAGGTGATAAAGTACCTGCATGTGTCGCAGCCGTCAAAACTGCAAAAAGCTCAGCACGTGCAACGGATTGGTCACCAGGAACGATTCCCACCCCACACACATGGAATAAAGGAAACTCCGGTTGAGGCAAAAACAGAAAATCCAAAACCTGTTTTCTCTGGCTAGCGCCATTTGAAATGTCCTGCACAATGGACCACGTCGCAATCCTAGCAGGAGCATGTCTGGGAAATTTGGCAGAACCATCAGTAAAAATTTTCCACCGTTCACAATCACTCTGCCTGAAAACAATAGTTTCAGGGAATTTCACCGTTTGGAAGAAAGCCCGCAGAAGACTGGCATCCGGATGCTTCCGAGGAATGGGTAAATAAATCCATTCTTGCCTGCAATTTTCAAGGACATTGCACTGTTCGACCATTACATCCCTCACGTCTTTCAATGCTGGACAATGCAGAAGCCTATGCTCTCTTGTATCGTCAGCGTTGCAAAGTTCGCATGCTTCCTTTGTCTCATCATCCCATTTGGCTTTCTGGGATTGCGTCTGAAAGCCGCCAACAACATTGAGTTTCAATAAGTTCTGTTGTAAATCGTCAAAACCATGAAACACTCGATGAAAAGAGGTCACATCAGGGAAAAAATCACCAATCCCCTTTCTGTCACACAATGTCAGCAAATGTTGATGCCACATCGTCCTCATCATTCTTGAAATCCTCTTGCATGAATCCGTCAGGACATTAAATGCCATGAAGTCGGGTCCAGAAATCGTTCCATCTTCCTCCAAGTGCCACCCAATTTTCCTAACATACTGCCTGAAAGCAGTGGCTGGCCCAAAAGGTCTCGAACCGTTTGTTTGGCAAGATCCGGCATCACGGATGCAATTCTCCTAATGATCCTTGCACACTGCATCATGGTGTGGAGCAAGGGATCAATCAGGAACTTTGACAAGAAAGTACACCCAATGACTGAGGAGGAATTATGCCATTTACCCACAAGACAATTAACGGCAGCCCTTCTCAAAGAAGTGTAATGATGTTTGCCAATGTAGGTGGTGTCCGAACTGTACAATGCAAGAGGCCAAATAGCGGACTGGATCATCTTTGCTTTGGTCTGCAATGATGCTGGAATCCATTCAAGTCTGTGCAAACGGGTTACAGCTTCATCTATCTTATCTTTTATAAAACCCAGCGATACCCCACCTTTGCTGTAGGACACAACTTCACCAAGATCTTTGACAGAGTTTTTGACTTGTACCTTAACATCACCTTGAGGATGTAAACACTCAAATGTCAAGCAGAAGTCGCGAAACTCTTTTTTCGTTCCCCAATGCCAACTCTTTTCATGGTCGATCTGAAGTCTCAAAGCCGCTGTACCTCTCAGCATTTGTTGATACGCTAGAAAGTGAGCTTTTTGATTCGTCGACATCCAACTCCAGTTGTCAGCATACGCAAATGGTCTCACCGACTCCCGAAGAATCAAATGGTAATAAAAGCAGGATGTGGCCAGCATTGCAAGAACAGATATACTGCATCCTTCCGGCACACCAGTGGTTGAAGGAATACCATGAGCAACGCATCCCTGAATGGTAGGATATCTAACCAATCTATCTAGACTGGCAATCCACGCCGACACCAACGCCTCAGGAATTCCAAGTCTTTGCATGATTCTGCCACAAGCCCATCTTCCAAAGGTATTATAAGCCTTGATAAGGTCCAATGAAAATCCACCCATCGAGGTTCCATTTCCCAAAGCTTGTTCAATGACCCTTTTCTGAGTGAACGCAAGCTCTTTGACCCCACGGCCCGGTAAGCCACCAGAGATGTCATATGGAAATACATCCTTCCATGCCTGTGCAGTAACACGGAAAACAAATTTTCCCAGAAGTCTGTAGAGACAACTCAGAATCGTGATAGGTCGTGCGCGATGCATTGATTGTGGTGTTGGCACCTTAGAGAGCAAAACAGTCTTGGCCATCATCATTCCCGGTCCAAAACCCATCCGAAAAACGTGCTTAAAAATCACAATCAGGTCAGCAATGCAAACGCGAGGAAGAGCTTTGATCTCGTCATTGGACCAACCACATGGACCCACCGCCTTGCCTGACGGGAGCCGTCTGATAATGTCCATCCAAGCATTCACATCATCAATTGGATATTGGATTTCCGGAATTGCAGGCATAGCGACAGAATCCAGGATTTCACAAAAAGAGTTCCATGTGCGATCAGAAAACTGTTCTTCTCTGACGTCACGGAGCCACATGGGTGACCAAAAGTCTCTGAACTCATCAGCAATTTCATCAGGTTTGACAGCGAAAAATTTGACCTGCAAGATCCCACGTGCCGGTAAAATACCATCAATGTGTCTAAAAAAGATTTTTTTGTTTTCCTGCTTGACAAGCTCAATCTGGGCTTGCCCAAAAAAGAGTTTCGCATGCATGGGAATCTGACGCACGTCATCAATTTTCAAGGCTGTGTGACCAACCGAGGATCTAAGCAAAGTGGCATGCAAATTCCATGTCACAGGTACCTCGGACAGGCTGTCTGTGTTCTTGGCCTTCAAAATTTTATATGTCGTCTTGCAAAAATCATCTGATTGATCAATCTGCAGCATCCCTCTAAATTGGTCAGTTCTGAACTTGTTTTCTGCTCTACAAGCATGCACGCAGTCATGTTCAGTTATCAACTCGACAGTGGACAGGAACTCCATGTCAGGCAGCCATGTTGGCAGCTCGGAAACAGCATCAAAAGAAAGGATCCAACGGCTCCATGAACTCCCATACCCTTTGGCATTCAGGATTTTTTTCCATTCCAATGAAGCATCACGAAGACTATCTGCAATCACTGGATCATCGGAGGTTCCAGCAGGCAGACTTTTGAATCTTCTGATAAGAGTCTTGATCCTTCTCACTTGCCGCACTTTCAGTTTCGTTTTCAGGTGAAAGACTTCACAAGGAGGCGTGAAGCCACCATGGCGGTCCGTTTTCACTGACTGTCGCGGTTGTGGTAACCTAATTTTCTCAGGTACACACCTACCTTTGTGGGATGAAGGTAAACATGTTTGAGGAAAGCGCAAAGGATCAAGTCTGTTCTGAGTTTGCAATGCTTCGTCAACAGCTTTTTCGGTCTGTTGGGACCAAATTTGAAATGCATGCTCAACCTGACCAACGTCCGGTGCACTAGCATCAAGAAAAATGGTCTCGAAATCAACAGGCGTATCATGTTCTTCAATCAGTTGCTTAGTCGGAGCAAAAGTAGCCCATGTTTTAGGAGTATTCCAAATGCTCACTGGAATCTTTTCCTTTTGAAAATCGAACTGAATCAGCAGCGGCGAATGAATATCAAACTGATGATCACTGCAAACACTCATGCCGGCAATGTGGTCTGCTAGCACAGGATGCATGAAGGCAGTATCATTCCGTGTCGACCCACTGCATGTGGCTGGTAAATCACATTGAAACTTCGTACGATACCACTGAAAAGCCTCAATGGCACCAAGGTCCTGAAAAAAAATGTAGGCCGGAAGTTTGACCAACGGTTCATTAAAATCTCCAGCAATGATAAAAGGTAAGCCTACGGACATAACCACAGGTATCAAATTGGCAATGAGGCGGTCATTTGGTCTAATTCCTTCTTTATGCCTGTTGGCAAAACCATACACGGCAATCACCAAAACTTCAATCTGTCCAAATCTTGCAATGCAGGCAGAAAATCTCTGAGTTTCCCACAACCTGGGTTGGATATCCCCTCTCATTTGTCTGGAGGTAAGGGAACAAAAGATAGCCGATCCAAGAGCTTCCCCTCTATACGACGGACGATTGTCATTTGTGGATTTCTTAGGGGCAACAACCTTGGACCAAAAACATCTGAATCCAAAACCCCTGAGCTTGTGAGTGCACTCTTTCTGGACAACACTGGTAGCACTAGTCTCAGAAACGGCCAAACAGTCAGCACCCAAATCAAGCAGTCTGTCAATTTTGCCATGAACAGTTGTCGGATTAACAACCGCAAACTTCACTGAAGCGCCATCAGGCCCAGGATTTGAGGCTTGGCCAACACAACAGGCATAAAAACAAGAATGAAAACCCATCGGTATGATGGAATACCAACCGCTACCATCGCGAAAAAATTCATGCCAAGTCAAAGCCCTGAGCAATGGGATGCAAACATCATCCAGCCCTATGAAGCTAGTAAATGTCACCCCGTACAAAAAACGGATCACTGTCAAACAGCACTGGAGGTCATTGCACATGCAAATCATAATGGACAAAATGTCCAGAGGCACAGAGGCAACCAAATGAATTAAAACTAGGCAGCATGGTGCACCAGCTACATAACACACGGTCAATCTGGCGACATCATCAAGGCCTAGTCAAGGCTGATACGGATCCTTCTCCACACCACATTTCGCTTTTTTGGGAGGCGGCGAAGCCCTGGAGTGGCTGGCAGCAATCATTTCTTTCAATTCAGCAAATTGGGAGGACATCGCAGTATCATGCACCTGGATGGCACTTGCAAGACTGTCTTTGAAAACATCGGCCATCACATGAAATTGGTTTGCCGTCTCAGCTTTCAGAGACTGAAATTCAGCAGCCGTGGCTTCCATGTTGCTGTCAATTTGCAAGCGCTGGGAGTCAACCATTTTTTTCCAATTTGGACATGTCTTCTCTCAAAGCAAGAATCTCTTTCTCAGCACTTTCACGGACCAACTGAATTTGCTCTTCTTGGCGTTGGAACTTGTCTTCAATTGGCGCTTCAAGACGTCTCGGAGGCTGTGCTGCAGTCGGTTGGATGGCATTCCTACCGGCAGCTCCAGGTTGTGCGATTCCTGTCGTCCCATTCAATTTGATCCAATTGCTCCATGGGTCACTCTGCAAGACATCACCCTCCTGATTTGTGGTCTTGGGAGTGTCAATCAGGCCATTCGGCAAATTTTTTTGTACATTTCCAGCAAGAACTACCGGTTGATGTTCTCTCTTGTCTTGAACCCAACGAATGAGAACAGGTTCCCCATTCCACAACGGGAAGACCTCTTCAAATTTCTTCTCGGCAACGCACAACCAGGTCGTGGCACTGATTGGCCGAACAGGTTTTGCCTTCCACTCATGCATGTTGATCCATTCCAAAACCTGATCATTTGTTGTTCCAACAGGAGTCGGCTCAACACGAAAAAAGAAGTTTGAAGAAATCATGCTTGGCATGGAGTCATTCGGGCGCAACTTCGCAAATGCCGCTGGAAAATCACGTCTGGAAAAACGGATACCTTTTGTGGCAGCATCACCTTTGAAGCTTCTAACCAGCCCAAAATGATTCTCACACTGGGACATCTTGACTGCAAGTTCAACTTCGGTCAGCTTGGTCCAAACCACCATATAATCTCCAGAGATTTTCTTGTTTTCCGTTTTGGGACAAGTGAAAACCCCACCATTTCCAGAAGCTCTCAAAACGACTCGGAGATCTGATTTCCGAATACGTGCATGGAACTGGATGGTGGTCGCAGCATCAGGTGCAACTTGTTTGGCCTGTTTTTGGAAAGATCTGCCCCATGGTGGCGCAATGAAAGTCACATCCGAGAGGTCATCACCAAGTCTTCTCATCATATGCTTCACAGGTGCAGCCACAACATTGTCCCAATCTTCTTTTGGCATATCATCTTTGACGGCAGTAAAGCACACAACATGAGTGTCATTAGTAGGAATCACATGTTCATCGTCCTCAGATCCAAGTTTGACATTTTTCCCTCCCAATTGGTGCAGGCAAGCTTTGAGAATGAAGGGTTCACCATGCACACACACTGGTACCTGAATCTTTCTGCAAAGGTCAGATCCGTCCTGGCCACATACACCGATGATGAGTATTGCAAGTTCATCCTGGGACAAGGTCGCATAAGACTCAATCCACTGTCGAGCTTCAGCAAATCTCATGACAATGACTCCAGAGACATTCGGGGAAATCTTCTGGATTTGTTGGCAAGACGTGTCATCTTGATTGCGGAAAAAGTCATTTTGGATCACAATGCTTTCAATGGGTAAGTTGGCAGGCAAACTCCTGGACACACTTTGGAACTTCTGTTGGGCCTTCTTTTTGGCTTTCTGCAAACGCTCAGCAATTTGAGGCATGGGAACATGGAGCGCTAGGGCGAGCTGCGAAAGCCCCTCCCACTTCCTCTGGATCTGCTTTTGTCCTAGTACACTGGATACAGCACTGGCACCGGCATTTCTCACAATAGAATCTATGAAATGCAAGCTTTCCTTGAGGTCGGCGCCCTGGGACAGCAAGAATTTCGCAAGTCCATTCTTTTGCTGAACATTGAGTTCATGAACACTGGCAGGGTCTTTCTCAAATCCACCACCACGCAGGGCACCTGTGAAAGTCAAGACCGCAATCGTCCTGTCCTCTGGGCCACACCTTGAGTAATGCTTCAGCGCCAGGTCAGGATTGACCAAACCTGAGTGTGCAACAAGGCGCATAAGGAAATGATCACCGACGATCGTGCACGCTTGGTCCCAAATGTCCAACAATTCCTGAACTGGGTACATCCTTGGCAGACACCCCTTGAAAACCACCACATGCCAAAGTTTGATTTTGGTGTCAACATCATCAACACCAGATGTTGGCGATGGCATCCCAACACATACCAAGGCTGATCTGACAACTGCAATCAGAAAATTCATCGTCGTCGGTGAGACACCTGGAATTCTGATGAAAAGTATCTTCGCCCTGGTAGGTTCAAATGACAAGTATTGACACACCGCCAGCCAACCACACATTCTGAGCATTTCGTCAATTCTAGTTTCCAGCATCATCTTCAGGAACTTTTTGAAGACTTCGAAATCTCCATCCAATGAGAAAAACCCACCATGAGTCGATCCCTCCAATTCCAGGAAGTTGGGAATGTCACATCTCTTGGCACCATGTTGTGGGTCAACAAGGACCTTCAGTGCGAAAGATAAAGCACCTTCGATATTGGACTCTTCCATATGGGCAAGATCTCTGAAGTTCTCTGACATGGCAACTTGGTCGTTTGTCACAAGCTTGACAGGGCCACCGCCTCGCAGACCCATCATCAGGTGTACCACAATCTCTCCAAAACCAGAGTCATCAACTTGAACAAAATCGGACAAAGGTCTCTCAGGGTTGGCCGTCCTTCCATTCACAAGGAATCGCCAAGGCTTCTGGATCCCCCACCAACTTGCAATACGGTTCCACACCTCATCAAAATGCTCCAAGGTAATTGACGGATCAACTTGGGAGTCCCACACCCAGACATGCCACACTTTGATCCTACATCTCACGCAAGGTTCATCACCAACCGTTTTCCATGATCTGATTCTGCAAAGAAACATGTGAATGGCCAGGCAGTGGGTTTAGGGGACCAGCATGGTGGATTACATTAGAGAACATGATATACAGACCTTTAGGGTAACACTTGGGGACACGGGGCTGGGACATGGGGTGGGTTTAGGGGACCAGCATGGTGGATCCTGATACGTGTAACATTCTGCAAGTCACTTTCAAGACGTTCCTGATACCTTGTAAAAATTTTCTGTAAGTAACTTGCAAGACGTTCCTGATACGTTGTAAACTCTTTTTCAAGTAACTTGCCAGATGTTCCTGATACGTTGTATCATCTTCTTCAAGTCACTTTCAAGACGTTCCTGATACGTTGTAAAATCTTCTGTAAGTAACTTGCAAGACGTTCCTGATCCGTTGTAAACTCTTTTTCAAGTAACTTGCCAGATGTTCCTGATACGTTGTAACATCTTCTTCAAGTGACTTGCAACACGTTCCTGATACCTTGTAAAATCTTCTGTAAGTAACTTGCAAGACGTTCCTGATCCGTTATAAACTCTTTTTCAAGTAACTTGCCAGATGTTCCTGATACGTTGTAACATCTTCTTCAAGTGACTTGCAACACATTCCTGATACGTTGTAAAATCTTCTGCAAGTAACTTGCAAGACGTTCCTGACACGTTGTCACATCTTCTTCAAGTAACTTGAATGATGTTCCTGATATGTTGTAACATCTTCGTCAATTCACTTGAAATACGTTCCTGATGATCATCTCTGTCACACATGTACACGCCTCTTGAAATCATGTTCAAATGCATCGATATATCTTTCTATTGAGACTGTAGCCATATATCACCGACGTAGTCCTAAGCGAGAAAAAACGTAGGCCTAAGCGAGGTACTGACCCTTAAATTCCCATATTATATCTACTCCAGGATGACTATACAATCACTAGTTTATGTATAATATGTTGGATACATTACTATCGATTTCATCAGCATATCCAAGAATTGATGCTAATCCAATACAATATCTGGCTAGGACATAGGCTTCTTAAAGCGAAACTTAAGAACATCGGTTCAACCCCCTCTATTGAAATTTAATGCAATGATAATATCATTGATACAAATAGTAACCCAAACCTATGGTTTGTCCGCAAGGATGAAATGGTTGAACATGCATCACGTTACCCTAAATGTATTACGTACAGTACAGTACATCTTGAAATGCACATTTCCAAGATACTGTACCCAACCAACTTAAAATGGCGCGTTCTTTTGGCTGGGTAATGTGGTCAAACCAACCTTTTTTTGTTTGATGGTGAAACCCCCATCTGTGATAGTCGAACCTCCACTTCTGATACTGAAATGAAATCATGTTAAACCATGTTTTTCACCATGTCAAGCCCCACTTTTTGGTTGCTTAAACTGGTTGAACTGCTTAAGGTTGTCATATGGTTGGGTCCCACTCAATTCGTAGCTCCCGGCCTGGCTCCGATGATTTATTGTTGGGAATATGAATGCCCCAATCGCTCGGCACGGCTCCCTCCTAACCATTGGATAATTAAACCATTGCATTTTGGTTAGAACACGATCAATCACCAACATTATCCAATGAGTGTCCTGGCAATGCCAGATGACCATAAATCCCTTCACCACTTTGCTAGATCACCATTAATCCACTATTTGGATATATTTGAATAGTATAACAAATTAGATTCATCCCTTCTCCATTCATATGAAGCATTATCCCATGATTATCACTATAAATCCCAAGTATGTGGGTTATCTCCATGTTATCTCCCATGTTTGGTTGCTTCAACCTCCAATCTTTCCATCAATCAACCCACCCATTTGATTGAAAACAAGGCACTTCCTGGGGCGCGAGGCGCCTGAACAAACAGAGGATGTTACTGTGTTTGATGTTTATAATAGAACAAGTTTGAAACGAAGTGCCAAAAAAAATTGATGGGGGTTCTTAAAATGGGAAATCACCAACTCAGTCACCATGGGTTTTTAATACTACAATGGTCTAATGACTTGCACGATTGGGGGGTACCCCCATGACTTAGGAAACTTCCATATAGGATGATCAAAACTGATGGTGACATGTCTAGGCCTTCTCAGCGCCCCAGCACCATTGGATCGATTTAAAGGATCAAGTTAAAGGAAACCATGGTCTTTGCCATCAACATGGCATCAACATGGGCTGAAGAATTTTCGGTCCAGGATTATCGGATGGGCTTCCCAGTGAAACGATCATGAAATTCACCCAAATGGGCCCATTTGAAGTGAATAGATCCACTGGTTTGCCGCATTTGCCGCCATCGCCAGGTCAGGTCGAGCGTCAGAATGGATTCCCAGGGTGGAACTCCCCTGCTTCGTTGCGACCCCAAAATAACCCCTGCATATTTAGGTGCTGCTCTCCATCTTTCCCAAATGTATATAATAAGGTAGTATTATTGTTGCTCTCTCTCTCTATATATATATGTATATGTATATATCCCCATTATAGTCTAATAAGATATCCAGTTAATTACCCACAAAATTGCCTGTTAAATCCCATTAAGCCTTAATCCTTCTATTTCTGGAAATATCTTTAGACACACGGTGCATTAACCCTATCAAACCCTATTAAACTCCACAAAACTCAGTGAAACTTGCGATTTCAATCACACCTGTATATCATATCTTGTTGGCTATATATATACACACATATTACCACTATTTTATATATATATATTCCCTAACATCTTCCCCATTAGGTGCTAACTTTCCTGATTTTCAACATACGTTAACAATCGTCAACGTATATATCTCAATAACTCATGATATGTCATGAACGTGTTGTTTCCACTCCAACTTCCTTCAGCGCAGCTCACGCTAGCCACGGTCATCCTCCACAAATGCGGCACGCAAGCCACGACAGTCGGTGACGCCAGGGAAGTTGACCCAAAGCTACAAAGCGCATCGACCGCCTCAGAAGGATGGTTGGATCATCACCCCACAAGTTAAGCAGGATGACCGATGAGAGATGTGGGTTCAGACCCCTGGAAGCAGTGACGATTAGTAACTGGTGAGATTTCTTGGGGATATAATTCGAGTAGTCTTACTATTCCATGGGAAGACCAAACTTCATAAGGGAACTGATAGCTGAATCTTTATATTTCAGTAAATACATGTATACATCAAAGAAGCACCAGTTTCAACGTGATGTCCATACGATGTGGACTTGCGCCATGAGCAAGCACCAGAGCAAGCCACTAGAGCGGCTTTCTTGAACCTCAAGCCTACAGCACCTCTATTTATATATATATATACATATATTTAAATCATGCCCCCAAGGCGAGAAAGAGATGGAGGACCCAAACTATTGCAGGATTGTGTCGTGCCTGCTGTGTTGATTGCATGAAGCCCAAAAGATTAATTATCTCAGGTTGCTCTTTACCTGTTGGATGCATTACTGCATTGCACTGGGCAGAGTAAAACCCAAATTGTAAGAGGTCCTTCTGAAAAAATGTTGTGGAGATCCTTGCGAAGTCCTCTGAGAGGTCCTTCTATAATCTTCTATAAAGCGCTTGAAGATAGCTTCGTGTGCTGGTGTGCTGGTGCGCTGGTGTGCTGGTGCTTTCCTCCAAAATGGACATCAAACAATGGGGAAAACGATGATCAACTCTGGAATATCAGTATCACCTTTGATTTCTTGGCCCTTTCTTGATGTAAACCATCAACATTTGGGGGTTCCCAACCCTTCAACCACTGGTTCACTGGTGGTTTCGGACCTGGTGATTTCAATTCACGGCCTTTTCCGGGGGATGATCATTCACTGAATCATTCACCGAAATTTGGAGGATCATTTTGTGGCATGATTCCCCTGCCTACGTTCACCACAATTCTACGTGCCGTTGCCGTGCCGTTGCGTCACCAATTTGTCCCAGCTTCGAGGCAGCTCGTCGAATGTCCTGGGGCAGGAAGCTTCTCATCTTGCCATTGGCCCAATCTGCCGTTTGATCCTCCCAGATGGGTTTTGGAAAAAGTTGAACCGGAAACTCCGGAAACACCATTTTTTGTAATTAATCTCCAACTCCAGTGGTATCCTGCGATTTTTTCCCACCTCAACGGTTTCTAGGAAACTGAAGACATGAGGTCCATTGGGCTGAATGATGTTGAATGGATTTTCTTGACAGGAAACTCATAAACAGGGCTTCTTATAGTTGCTGCAGCATTCAAACATTGAGACTGGATACCTGATCCATATCTCGCCAGTCTATCAAGGAACTTATCATAGGTCCCAGTTAAAAAAATGATAGTTGTGTATTAGCCACTTCTTAGTTATGTAATGTTATGTATCAATAGTTAGGTATCACCGAATAGTCTACATGACTATTCATCAATAACAACTGACATCTGCGGGACCAGTTAGGTACCAGCTGACAGACAGGGCAGAATTCATATCATCCTACTGTGTCCTACCTTGAAATGATAGTTCAAGCGATTAGATCCATCGTCACATGTATGTATGTATGTATGTATGTATGTATGTCTGTATGTCTGTATGTCTGTATGTCTGTATGTCTGTATGTCTGTCTGTCTGTCTGTCTGTCTGTCTGTCTGTCTGTCTGTCTGTCTGTCTGTATGTATGTATGTATGTATGTATTAATGCAATGCAATGCAATGCAATGCAATGCAATGCAATGCAATGCATGTATGTATGTATATTATATAATGTCTATAATGTCTATAACGTCTATAATGTATATAATGTATATAATGTATATAGTGTATGTAATGTATATAATGTATATAATATATATGTATGAAAAAAATTGCTGACATGTAAATGACTTGAAACTTGATACATGCAATATATATATATAATACCAGTATATCGGGGAACGGGGTCAATTCAGCTTGAGGTCTCCCAGGTGGGCTTCTAGCCAGCGATTTCACAGATCTGATTTTCCACATATGTCAACCATTCATTCCATTTGGATTTGATAATGGTCATATAATAATATATAATATTATGTAGCAAATCATTGTTGTACTCTTTTGTACTAGCTAGATCCCTTTCTCCATTAGTATACATGCATTTGCTGCTTTAGGTGATGTTAACAGGCTATATATATATATATGTACATGCCTAACTCATGGTCAAGCTCTGAGACCTCGAATTCACCCAACCAGAGATGAAAAATACAAACCTGTCAAAACATGCTGTGGATGGAAGAAATCCTATACCAGTTGGTAACTGTTGGTATCTATGAAACACTGTAAATAATGGGATTATGATGGGATAGACTATTCATAACTGTCCAAAATCAACAAATCAACATCTCTCTACTTACCGAGCATCATTGTAATGCTTGGATACAAAGTGACCAGATTGCCCCAAAGGCATAATAATGCGATTCGTGTTGCCATCCTCGGTTCAAACGTCATTGACTTTGCTGGAGCAACAGTGAGTGTCGACCAACCAACATATTGGTTTGACCAACAACAGTATGGTTTCATGAAGAAATGGTGGGTCTAATGGGTAATACATATACATATACATATATCATATATCATATATCATATATCATATATCATATATATATATATCATATATCATATGTGCATATATATATATATAGCATCCCAACAGTAATATGTCCAAATGGGGGGTAACATATACGTGTATATATATATATAATGTTTACATATATATATAGATAATATTGATATATATATATTATACATATACACACTGTGTATATGTTAGTTGAGTCAACGAATTCTACATTCAATTTGGATCGATTCGGTATGGGTCAAGCCTGCCAGTTTTGAGGTGATGGACAATGTCTACATCTATATAAGTTTTTGAGGGTGTCTGAATCATGGGAACCAAGGCTGGTAGTCTATCAGTGATGATGAAGTAAACATGATTGACAGAAATATACAGAAATATAGTGACAATGCTGATGAATAAGAACAAAACATAGATAATGAAGAAAATGATTCTGAAGAACAAGAACGAAAAGAAGAGGAAGAAGAAGAAAGTGATGAAAAAGAATAAACCGATGATACATGGAAAATAACCCGGTTCCCATACTGCAATACGAAACCCTGGTAAAATTTATATTGGATTCATGCATGAATTGTGGGTCCAGTCATGGGGATATTTGTTCAAACAGCACAGGGTCGTCATGGTTTTGCTACCCCCTGATACGATAACTTCTATGAGGAAAACACATTGCATTTGCCTACGTTTGCCAACAAAAATGACATTTTCTGTAGGTAAATACACCATACATGGATCGTCTGGCCATATGGACGCTTATCCAGCCAGGGAATGGAAAACGGTCATCCAAGGATCGTTCAAATCAGCCAAGTTGAAGCAAATTCTTAAGGAGGCGTGTGAGCTGTTAGCAGAGAGGTCGAAGATTGACGTTGTAGCCGCCTGTATCACCCCAGATTTCTGAATCGATCAATTGAAATCCAGAAAATGGATGAAAATGGGTACCTATCTTAGGCCAATCGTAACTATTTGATAATATCTCTGACTGGTTCCTATTTCTGAATCATTGAGTCAGTCACTGAAGTTCTCATCCCTTCCCAGCCTTTACTGAAACCTGGCGGTCTGGCAGTATCCCTATATACTCAAAAAAATCGAATATTGCTACTATTTGCATCTATTTGCTACTATCAGCGGTTTACCATATTGCTATCGCTCTTGTTCCCATTCCTGATAATAGTAATTATTACTCATTGTTACTCAGTTACTCAAATCATTGATTCATCATCATGATTAGTATATTGCTACTATCATTGCACTCTGGACAATAATGATAATGGTGTAATGATAATGGTGTACCGATAATGGTAATTATACCCCTAAATTTAACATGGAACCCCAGAGATAGGGTTTTGGAAGATAACTTGTTTATTGGATATAGCCATTTTGGGGTTCCATGTTAAATTAGAGGATGTATTGCCAAAACATGAATTTCAGAGCACGCACGCTGTGGCAGCTGCCTGTTGGATGGTGTTGGTATCGCCTCCCGTCGGCACCAAATGGCAGTCGAAGGGTTTGCTACCCGGTGGAAGTCCTTGGACCGAAAAATGTGTGTTCTGTGAATTTTGCCGCCTCAATCTTCTAACAATGGTTGGATTATCATCCAGTCAATGCTGAATCCACTTATCCAGCAAAAAAAAAAAGTAGAAGGACTATAAAACACTTGGAGGGTCTAGTTTTGTCTAAAAATGACCATATCGGCCCATGTCCTCCATGTAGGGTTCAGTACATGTCTCAAAGGTTTCCATTCTATCCGATGGATTAGAACAGAATTTACCCAAAAAAGTATGTCCATATTTGGGGTATCCGATTTTCTGGAGAAGAAAACAGTCACTAAAGAAAACAATGTGTTTTTTTGTCACTTTCCAGGGTTGATCCTCATCCAGCAGGATCATTGTCCCGATGTTGCTTTCCCATCCCAAGCTCATCTTGTAGGTTCATCTATGGGATAGTGGATGTTGAATATGGTCAGCATAGGTCACGATTATATCTACCTAGAGCCTCCAAGTACTTCCAAAAATGGGGTCATATAGTCATGTTTGAGGACTTTTACCCATTTTTAGCTGTACAAACGAAGGGTCAAAGGACGAAAACTCCACCGTGATCCTTGGCGCAGCCACCAAGGAACCCAATGCTTTGGTCAAAGGATGCTTAAAGCTGGCCTTGTGGAGATGTCCCCACCTTGCTGAGGCTGTGCCCTGTGTGCCCTGGAGATGGACTCTCAATTTTTGCCAAATGGGGATATGATGGGAAAAAATGGGGATCATATATATATATGTGTATATGTATGTGTATATGTATGTGTATATATATATATAATTATATATATACAGTATATATATATATATCATATCTGTGTGTGTGTGATATCAAACATAGGGGTAATCGTATATTTTTCGGAGATGGGATGTATCTGTACAAGTGCGTAGCCAAATTATTAATAACAGAGAGTAATGGGAATCTGGGCCGGTATTCGGGCAAGTGTCCCTGGCGCGCTTGGCGCGCTTGGATCGCTTGGTCTGGCAAAGTGATGTGGGGCGGTCTTGGTGCAAGTGTCCCTGGCGCACTTGGGTCGCTTGGCGCGCTTGGCGCGCTTGGCGCGCTTGGCGCGCTTGGCGCGCTTAGCGCGCTTGGGTCGCTTGGCGCGCTTGGCGCGCTTGGGTCGCTTGGCGCGCTTGGCGCGCTTGGGTCGCTTGGGTTGCTTGGGTCGCTTGGCGCGCTTGGGACGCTTGGCGCGCATGGCCGAGTGTGCCGAGTGTGCCGAGTGTGCCGAGTGTGCCGAGTGTGCCGAGTGTGCCGAGTATGCCGAGTGTGCCGAGTGTGCCGAGTGTGCCGAGGTTGCCGAGTGTGCCGAGTGTGCCGAGTGTGCCGAGTGTGCCGAGTGCGTAGTGTGCCGAGTGCGTAGTGTGCCGAGTGCGTAGTGTGCCGAGTGTGCCGAGTGTGCCGAGTGTGCCGAGTGTGCCGAGTGTGCCGAGTCTGCCGAGTGTGCCGAGTGTGCCGAGTGTACCATTGCTATGATAGTGAAATCGAATCCCCCAATGGTGACTGGTTATGATTTCTAGCACCTATGTGGATGGTGTAATGCTACATAGGCATGATTTATTTGTAGCTACATGTTATTAATATCATTTCCGTCCACCTATGGATTAAAAGCATATCATCCAGCTGGAATTCGGGGTGGGATGTCCCCAGCAACCTTGTGGAGGCTCGGGACCAGACTGTCAGTATCCGCACCATCAACAGCATCAAGCGCTCAAGCAACCCCATCAAAATAATCGTCATCATTGTTATCATTATCACGAGAACCATTGCAGTCACAATGATCTATTTGATATTGAAGTTTTTGCACCAGTATCATCACGAAAACATTATTACCACTCATGATCATGATCATTATCAACATCATGATCATCATCACCATCATCACCATCATCATCATCATCACCATCGTTGTGGTTAATGATGGTAATGATAATAGCACAAGATACATTATATAATAATGAGAAAAATGGTCATCAACTAAAAAGCCCTCTGCAAATGCACAATCGAGTTTTGAGCGTGTGCATCACTGAGTCACTTTTTTTTGCGTGTACAGCCGAGGCAGAATTGGTTCTTGATTGTTGTTGTTTGGTAAAGAAAGGTAGGCTTCACTAAAACAGAATGCCAAGAATCTCGATAATGATGATGAAACATGTTGATATACTATGTTTTTTAATGTTGGTAGTCCAAAAAAG